GAGGATGACTGTTTTGCTGAGCCTAATGGGATGACAAAAGAAACGCCGTCACGTGGTCTCACGATTGGACAGTGGGACGCTCCTCTGTTGGTGTTAACGGGTAGCTCTCCGCTCAACAAATTTACACTGGCGTCTCGCTTTCTGCCGAAGCTCACGCGAGACTTTTACTGTCGGTGCGATTTTGATATTGCTGAATCTCATTTTTACCTATGTTAGCCAATATCAATTGTCCGGAACCTCCTGTTCTGGAAAAAACCAGGCAAGAATAATTCTACTAAAGCGTGAATTATCTCATGCAATTTTTCCACGAACTAAGCGTGATCGCTTTCGAGCCGTTCATGGAAGATATCCAATCAATCATAAATCAGCCCATGCTTACGGGGCTGATTACGATAACTCCTAACAGCCGTGACTTCCCTCGTTAGCGGACTTTTCAGCAGAAAGAACTTGAAGAATTTCTGAGACAGCCTCCTGATATATTCAGTGAATGTTTCCACTTCAGCCAGATGTCATATCGACCAATGAAATGTATCTGTCACTATTCCTGGAAATATGGAGCACCTTATTCTGCATCTTTTCGAGTCTCTGTAAGAAAGATCTCTTGAGGCTGTAGAATACAGGACAGGCGTACAACATAGGTGGTCTTATTATCTGTTCGTAAGTTTGGCAACTTGTTGTTAACACTGAGCTTGCAGTTCCGTGCAATGAGCGAATAGGTACGTTTCATCGCCGGAGCCGCTCGTTGGATCGCAAGACAAGTGTTCCTGAATGTTCAAGCGCCTATTCAGGATAACTCCCAGATACCGCGCGCTTTTCTGCTCATCATCAAGATATTCACGTTGGTAAATTCTTCGAAAAGTTTTCGAGCTAACTTTCGTTTCTGTCAAAGTACAGCACGATCATCCTGTCAAGGTGGATCTGCAGTTGCTGCTTAACCACCTCGCTCGAGAATGAATCAGCGTAAATTGCAGTATCGTCCGTATACATACCCACATTCGTTTTCGAGAACGTGGATTATGTTCCCGTTTTGTCTGAGAAATTGAGACGCATCGGTTATACTAGTAGATATGATGTAAGAACAACTTTTAGAACTACCAACCCATTGAGATCTCTTTTGACGCAAACTTAATATAAAAATACGATTGAAAAACGAAAGATTCACAATATACCTACCTTCTTCCTATGAAATAAGTTAAATAGGTGAAACCTCAAGCCCCCTGGATGTGAAAAAAATTAACATCATGAATATATAAGGAGAAGACAGATGTCAGGATTGGGGATAACAAAGCATATCCTAAAATCAAATGGTGATCACGCTATAGAATGGAATGAAACAAAAATTATCACCGAAAGAACTCATTGAAAAATCAGAAAATTCAAAGAATCCGCATATATTCTTTTAGCAGGTAACAAGTGTATTTCAAATAGCTCTGTGGGAATGAATCATGCCTGGTTGCCATTTCTAAAGAAAGATGTTGAAAACGGAAATATGAACCTCAACTGAATTCTCAAAAAACAGTATATGTATTCGTGTAGACTATGTCAAAAGAATTTATTTACAATTTGAGGTGAAAGTTTTAGAGTGTAGAGTGAATTTTTAAATTTGAAAACGAAAAAATATTGTTTTTCGAAACATCGACCTCAACCAGATATTTTTCTCTCGAGATAATTTCTCTAGTTGAAGTTGGGATGATTCTGCAACGTTACTGCAAATACCTACACTCTCGGACAAAAATATTGCATTTTGCATTTTACAAGATTTTTACATGTTAATTTCTATTCTCTTAACACATCATTTACTTTTCTTGATGAATGTTTAAAGGCCAAAGTATTTTACGTAAATTTCCATTCAGTATAGATAAAAGAATGCTTGGACATAGTCGCTATAGCTGTAGAAAGTAATGGTACAAATTACAAACTTTGAATAGTGTGCCTTTGCCACTATTAATGTCTATTGTTTTGTTTATTGTTGTCAGAATGACATTTAGAGTACTTTATGTCTTGATTCTGTAGTTTTTTCAGTTAGATGCCGTATTTGAGCGAATTATTTTATGTTAAAACCAGCAAATCAGGAATAGCAGATCATGTTGTGACCCATCAACACAACATCGAGTGATCCCAAGCTGACATCTTGCACAGAGAGGAACATTGGTTTAGGAGAAAATTCAAGGAAGCCACATACATGTTGTCCAACAACGTATTCAGCCAAGCCAGCGTAGAAATACGCAACATATGGAAACCCATCATCAAGCGAAAAATGGCCAACTCCCGCCAAAATGGTCATCTCCCACGGAACCAGTGAAGCGGAAAATGGAAAGCGGGGATAAGTGAAAGTACTCGAACGACCTATAAATAGTCATCTCTCGGAGGAATCAGTCCAACATCAGTTCAAAGGGTAAGGGAGCCAGGCTCCAACCTGAATAAATTCAAGATGACTTCCACCGAATCAGTCCAGTCATCACCCGAAGGCGATTGTAGATACTAACAATCGAAACGTCGTGAACTAACGTGACTTGGAATCTCTCCACTTTTTATTTTTATTTTCTTTTTCATTTCTTTATTTTTATTCATTCAATTGTTCTATTTTTACTTGTATTTTATTTCACTATTATTTCATTTCAGGTTTATTTTGGTTAATATAATTGTTATTTTCAGCTATTCATTTTCAATTCTTCTTTTTTAGTTGTTTCAGGGATTTCAAATCATTTTATATAGTAGACAATGGAAGTCCGAACTAGTGAAATTGAAATTGTTACTTTAAGTCAGTGAGGGATGCAGACAAGAAGATATTGCGCGTAGATTGCATATCCCTCAATCGACTATTTCTTGTATTGTGAAGCGATACAATAAGATGTACAACGCCAAGCGATGAGCAATATTTGAAAATTCAATCTTTGGGAAATCGCACGCTTACAGCACCGCATCTCAGAAATGATATACTGAGCACAAGACAAGTCAACATGAATGTCAAAATAGTAATAAGAAGACTCAAAGAAGTTGGTTTGAATGCAAAACACCCTGCCAGAGTTCCGAAGCTTCTCACACGTCACAAATATAAACAGTTACAATTTGCCACATCACATGTCAACTGGAATGAATATCAGTGGGAAAAAAATCTTTCAATAGATGAAACAAGAATATAGTTATGGAAACCAGAAGATACAGAAGATCTGAAGAACGTTTCGCAAATGTAATCTTGTACATTACATTGGCTTTGGTGGTGGTTCCATTATGTTGTGGGGTGGCATTAGTTGGGACAGTCGCACTGAGCTTATAGAGGAGAATTTAATAAAGAATTCTGACTGGTACATACGCAACATCTCTGAAGATCATGTTTTACCTCAGGGCGGTTTCATTGGTTACGATAATTTCGTGCTAATGCATGAACATGCTCGTGCACATGCTGCAAGAACAGTCACCCAGTATCTTGAAGTTGTTGGACTTGAGGCAGAGGCCACCAAACAGTCCTGACCCAAATCTCATAGAACATATTCGGGATATCCTCAAAAGACATATACGAGCACGAAATCCAGCTCCTAACTCGATTGCAAAATTAAGAAATGCTGCACAGGCAGACTGGAATCGAATTTCACAAGAAACCTACAAGACCTTTTGCGAAGAATGCCCAGGAGGATGCAGGATATCGTTAGAGCTAGAGGAGGAAACACCATGTACTGAACTATTACTATCTTGCCTCAAAGAACTTTAATTTTGTCGTCATTGTTGCTTGTTCTGATTAAATATTTTTAACAAAAATAGTCTATTCCATTACTTCTTCTACAAGTGTGTCATAATGTTTCAATGTCTGGTTTATTTGGCAATCAATATACGTTAGATACTTCAGCATATACCATTTAGTAATGAAAACTGCATAAAGATTCAGAAAAATAGTAATAAACATGAAATCAAGGGTTAAAATAAAATATACAATATTTTTGTCTGTGAGTGTATAACAAAATACCTGGTTTCTTCAACATTCTGAGGAATATGATCTGATGGAGAGCGAGAAATAAAAAATGTACTCTTGAGTTCATTTCACATTATTTAACAAGCGTCAACTGGAAAGAATCATTATATTCAACTCTCACTCGAAACTTCTGCGAACTAAGAATTAATAAGGTTTTACTTTTTCACATATGCTACCTGGTATGGCCAAGGACAAGGCATCGATACTTTATTTCATGTAAAGAGCAACTAATCAGTTCTCACGAAGATTCGTTGATATTTCCTCGACGTGTAAGTAAGACATTCCACAACAACCATGGTATTATTCTTTATTACATGACTCAACATCATAATTGATAAAATATGTGATAGCATATACTTCGATATTATTTTCATGAGACGTATAAGAGAAGTATAAAATATTACGCATGAAGCAGTTTTTTGCCCACTGGAAGTTAATCGTAAATGAATACATGGACGATAGCGCGACCTGGCTTTTTCTTTACTTGATCTCGTCTATTCCAACGCTGAATGATATCTAGAAATTTCTTTCAGCCGAATTCAAGCATTTTTAGATTTCCAGATCAGCAAATATCTACATAATGGACTGCGAACTCTGTTGCTGCATATCCTGAAAATGAAAATAAAAGTACATAATATTTTTTCTATGTGACGTTGATATAAACAAAACATTTCGAGTACATTTCAAAAATAGTCACGACTAACAACATTGAGGTGTTTCAAAAAACATCACGCTGTTGAAATAACTTCTACATCTTCTCCAACACTAACTCAAAATTTTGTTCAAGCAATTACAACAGGCGACCTTCTATCGTACGAGTACCTATGTCACCCATATNTTGACAGATGAAACTTCAAGATGGCGACTGGGCGCCATCTGGGAAAAAAATAAAGGGAAATGACCCAATGTTCACAGACCAAATTGCCGTTATTGGAGTTACACCAACCCTCACGTTTTCCGGGACCCAATATCCAGAAAAAATGAACGTTCCGTCAGAAATATTGGTAAACCATATTGTAGGACCTCTATTTATTGATCAAAATTCAACAGGGGAACTGTATTTGAATATGTTGGAAACTACTGTTGAAAGCCAATCCTAATGAATTCGATATGGATATTGCATTCCAACAAGATGTAGCACCACCACATTACTCCAGACAAGTAAGAAAATATTTGGAAACTACTTTTCCCGGTCGTTGGATTGGCCGTCGAGGTCCTACAGAATGGCCAGCCCGCTCGCCAGATTTGACACCTTTGGACTTTTTTTATGGGGCTATTTGAAGCAAAACGTCGCCAGTCGCCATCTTGAAAGTTTCATCTGTCAATTTCACTTCAAAATAAAGTATTCATGCATTAATTTCATTATCCCAAATTTCAATTTTCTGAGTTGACCCATTCAAAAAATAAAAGGGGGGGCATTAAAAAAAAGGAATGTATATTAACAACTTATTGGAAAAAACCAAGAATCCAATATATTGCTTTGCTGACGACAGCACACTTGCTCGTCATTCCATTTGGATGCACATCTTCACCGGCAGCAGGAAGTTGCATATCTTAATGAGGATCTAGAAGTAATTTCGAATTGTGATGAACGTAACCAGGTTCAAAGCAATGCCATAAAAACCCAGGCATAGGTTTTCTCTGAAAAGATAAATGTCTCCGAACCGCATATAATAATGTCAGGTGAGACAATTCCTCTTCTGCTTCGATAAGTTTGTTGGAGGTTAAAATGGACATCAATATGTTTTGGCACAATCATGTCGCTGGAATTGCAAAGGCTGCTTGTCAAAAGCATGAAACACTGTTCTGAACCAGAAAACTGTACACACCTCAGCAACGTTTGATGCTATATAAAGCTCAGAGCACTTCAATAAGTTTATGGACCAAAATCATTCACAAGTATTCACATTTCATAGAATTTTTTTCAATTCAAATAGAATTTTTCTTTTGCGAAAAATTGTAATTTCAAGTGATACTTTATCAATTGTTACATATTGTGGACCTTCTGTTATATCTATGACAAAAAAAAACTACACGAGCTTGTTAGAGCAATTCCACGGCGACTGCTTGACTGAAAGCTCCAGGATTTGGAAGAAAAATTGGTTGAAATAACCAAGTGCCCTATATTTTGTAACGTAACTTTTTGGGGTGAACTTTTCAGGTTGCCCTTCTACTACACTTCAGCAGATTCTCTATTGATTTAACTTTTATTTTTTCAGATTGTGTAAGGTTATAAACTGAAAAAATCAGTATAAAATATTGAGTCCCCCACAAAAAATGTCGCTTAAAGAATAATCTTTTTGTGTTCGCCTCAAATTGTGAATAGCTTTAGTTCTTTTGACATACGCCAAAAAAGTGGAATGTCCAGATGTCATATGCAATAGTCTATATGAATAAGTATAATGAATGTTCTTTGAGAATTCTGTTGAGGTTCATATTTCCGTTTTCAACTTGTCTATTTAGTAATGGCAACCAGAAACAATCTATTTCCACATAGCTATTTGAAATACACTTGTTACCTACTAGAAATATATATGCGGAGTTGTCTAATTTTTGCTTTAGTTCTTTTAGTGGTAATTTTTGTTTCACTCTATTCCATAACAAAATGATCTGGCCATCTATCTTCTCCTTATATATTTTAATTTTTTCTCACATCTAGGAACATTACCACAGGAACAAGATAGATTGTTAATACAACTAACACTAATACTAACGCTACCACTAACTGAACCCGTATTTTCGGGTGTCAAGAGAGATCTCGAAGAACATGGGGTATGACGTTAGTTGTGAAGTATATGTATTTTTGTTGGGTTTATGGTGACTATGGGAACTTCCATATTTGGTTCACAGCGTCTTATTTTCTGTTGAAATTATCCGTGTNCTTCAATAATAGTTATTTCCTCTTTCATATCATAAACTGAATGGCAAACTATCTTGGCCCTATCATACGAACATCTAACTATACCTTTTGAAACGTGGAGATATCTATTAGTATGAGTTTCCTTTCGATAAACACTCGTATCCGGAGTATTTATCGATTTTTTTATAACATCGAGAAAAGAAAGTTGATTATGAACTTTTCGTTCTGATATAAACTTTATCGTGGGTTCTCTTGAATTCAAAAAATTCACGAAAACGTTAATATCATCTGGGTTATGGTCCTAGGTAGCAAATACATCATCAACATATATCGGGAGCAGTTTGTGCAAGTGGCCGTCGATGGATATCTTTCGAATACTTTCACCATCAACGCTTCAACGCTAGCGTTATCCAGGGATCCATATTGTTTCCAATTCTCTTTTTATTGTACAGTGCATTTCTTTAATGTCCCCCCCTTTTATTTTTTGAACTGGTCAACTCAAAAAATTGAAATTTGAGATAATGAAATTAGATCAAGGATACTTTATTTTGAAGTGAAATTGACAGATGAAACTTCAAGATGGCGACTGGGTGCCATCTGGGGACAAAATAAAGGGAAAGGACCCAATGTTCACGGAATAAATTGCCGTTATTGGAGTGACACCAACCCTCATGTTTTCCGGGAAACACATACCCAATATCCAGAAAAAATAAACGTTTGGTCAGAAATATTGGTAAACCATATTGAAGGACCTCTATTTATTGATCAAAATTCAAGAGGAACTGTATTTGAATATGCTGGAAACTACTGTTGACCCTCTCGTCACTGAAATCGTCGAAGCCAATCCTAATGAATTCGAACTACTTTTCCCGGTCGTTGGATTGGCCGTCGAGGTCCTACAGAATGGCCAGCCCGCTCGCCAGATTTGACACCTTTGGACTTTTTTAATTGGACTTTTGGGATCAAAAAGGTGTACGAACTGAACCTGCTTCAATATTGAATATACGGCAGAGAATAATAATTATGTGTAGAGATATTGACGTTACTGTGTTCGGAAATGTTCGGTGTGGAATATCGGATAGTCACCATATCATGTGTCAAGAAGTTCAAGGCAACCATTTCGAGTATCTTCTGAACTGACCTCAAGCTTACTACCTCATATTATGTAGTTAAATGTCAATGTATTCAGG